CCAGTTACAACATGTTTCGCTACAGCTTCACCCTTTTCTTTATTGACAACTGTAACACCTCCTTTCTTTGGTACGACATGTACTGGGCTGACCCAGTTACTATTGAATATTAGGTATATAATTCCTGCTTCTAACATCTTTTGTACCTCTTTCTTAACTACATCACTCAGGATGGGGTGCATCCTTCTCTGGTGTTCTCTAGAGGTTTTGCAGTCTTCCTCTAGCATAATGTGATGCATGCATACAGAGAGACTTATCTCTTTCGGATCTGAGATGTTATAGCCTAGAGCTTTAGGATATTTCCTTAAGATATGTAATAGATTCTCAGTTTCTATTTGTCCTAAGTCTGTGTTGACTATTACAGGGTGTTCAAGCTCTGTATCTAGGAATTCATACCTTAGATTTTTGGGAAGTGTCTTAAGTTCTACAGAAGGCTTTTTGGGGCAAGGCATAGGATTTGGAGTTAGTGTTAAACATTCCCTTAGACTATCATCTATGTATGATTCACACCAATTATCATCTTCTATTATAAGAGGTGCTGGAATCTTTAGTACTTCAGTATACTTAGATTTTTCCATCTCCATTTCTCTTACGCATTCGTCTATGATATTTAGGGAACAACAGGAATCATCATTAGTTGGTGCCTTTAGGAATTGTGAAAGGATAAAATTGACGTTCTCGTCACTAACCTCGAAGGTTAGCTTTCCTTTCTTCACGTCTACGATGGCGCCAGCAGTGGCCAAAAAGGGTCTTTCTAGTATGATGGGAATGTTTAAATCCTCCTTTATGTCCATTATTATAAAGTCGGTAGGAATATAGAATTGACCTATGCGAATGAGAATGTTCTCTAGCATAGCTACAAAAAATTTAACAGAATGGTCGGCTAATTGGAGAGACATTCTCGTTGGTCTTACTTCTTCTAATTTGAGTTTTTCACATATAGAGAGGGGCATTAAACTAACATTAGCTCCTAAGTCGCATAGTGTTTTGTCTATGACACATTTTCCTATCACATGTGGTATGGAAAAACTACCTGGATCTTTTAATTTCTGAGGCATGTTGTTTTGAATTATAGCGCTACACTCTGCAGTAAGTGTAACAGTTTCATTATCCTCGAGCTTTTTCTTATTAGATAGGACCTCTTTAAGGAACTTAGCATATGAGAGAATTTGTGTAATAGCTTTTGTAAAAGGTATAGTGATATTAAGTTGTTTAAGAAGCTCTACGAATTTCTTGAACTGCCCTTCATTTTTAGACTTAGCAAGTCTTTGAGGATAAGGGATTGGTGGTCTGTATGGTGGTGGAGGTACATATAGTTTTTATTTCTCTACGGCCTCTTCGTTTTTGTCATCCTCTTTAGTATCATTTGGTTTATCTGATTGGTCATTCCTTGTCACCTTCTCAGTTTCTTTTCCAGAGTTCTCATACATGGATGGGTTTTGGATTCTAGGATCTATCGGTCCATCTAATTTTGTCCCACTTTGCAATATGATAACATTAGCATGACCTTTAGGGTTAGGTTGTGGTTGGCCAGGAAATACTTTGGTTGGGGCTGTTGTTGATGCTTGTTGTTGGGCTACTTGAGAAATTTAGGTTTCTAATATTTTTGTATGGGTAGCCATTGCATCAAGCTTTCTTGCTATTTTCTTCATTAGTTCACTCGTGTAGGCGTTTTAGTTGGCAAACTCTTTGTCTTGTTGAGTTTGGGTTGCATAAATTTCTCTAATAATAGCTCAACGTTTAACTTCCTAGGTGCTTAAGGAGCAGCGGGGGCTCCTTTCTGATAGCCTGGAGGAACAACAGGTGTTGGGTTTGGAGTGAACAAAGCATTGTTGCTCTTGTATGAAACATTAGGATGGTTCCTCCAACTAGGGTTATAAGTGTTTGAGTACAAGTTTCCTTGGGCATAATTTACTTGGTCGGTAGGAATACTAGCCAATAGATGACATTCAACATTACTGTGCCCAGGGGTTTCACATAATTCACAGTTGGGTGTCACAGCAGCCACGGTGGTTGCTGGAGTTACGATCAAACTCTCAATCTTTTGAGTAAGCGCATCCATTTTAGCAGTGACATAGTCTAGGCTATTAATTTCGTACATTCCGCTCTTCATAGAAGGTTTCTCTGTAGTATTTCTCTAACCTCCCCATTGGAAGTGGTTATGAGCCATGTTTTCAATGAGTTCATAGGCGTCTTCATAAGGTTTATCCATTAGAGTGCCACCAGTTGCAGCATTCAAGTTTGACTTTGTGTTGTATAGAAGACCGTTATAGAAGGTATGGATTATGAACCATTGTTTAAGTCCATGATGTGGAAAGATCCTAAACATGTCCTTGTATCTTTCCCAAGAATGGAAAATAGATTCATTGTCTTTTTTCCTAAATTCGTTGATCTGGGCTCTTAGCATAGCAGTTTTGTTACGTGAAAAGTATCGGGCTAAGAAGACTTTCTTCAACTTGTCCCACGTAGTGATAGAGTTGGATGGTAGAGACTGAAGCCAAGCTCTAGCTCTATCTCTTAAAGATAAAGGAAAAAGACATAATTGTATGGCTTCATTACTAACACCATTCGCTTTTACGGTGTCAGCGTACTGCACAAACATTAATAAATGAAGGTTCGGGTCATATGTAGGACTCCTAGAAAACTGTTTATGTTGAACGGCTTATAACAATGAAAGTTTTAGCTAGAAATCATTTTGCTCGATGGCAAAGGCAACAATGCTATTGTGTGGTTCATCTTACGATGGAACATCATAGTCCTTAAGAGGATGGTTCAGTGGATTTTCAGCCATAGATATTCTTAGTTCTGGAAAAGGAATTTCAAGTTCAAGAAGATTGTATTTTATTCAGAATTTGTTGATTCGACATCTTAAATTAATAAAGCGCTCGATATCGTCAATCGCCTGCTCTAATTGTTATCCTTGAGAGCAAATGTTTGGCATACAATCGATGAATTAAAAGGAAAATTGTTGCCTTAGTCTGTACTGCGCAACATCGGAATCACATTATTTACTAAATTAGTCCCCGACAACGATGCCAAAAACTTGATCGCGACCTTACGAGTCTATCGAATGATCTAACTGCAAGTACATAGTCTATCGTGTAGTTTTAAAATATATCGAACCTACAAGGACTAATGATTAATTTGTTGTTATCGATTGATGCTTTGTAAGGCTAAGTCTAGTGATTAAAAGGTTTGGACGAAAATAAAACGTAAATTGCAAAAGGTTTGGAAAGATATTAATAAAGAGAGGCCGAAAGATGGATTATGTGTTCCTCAAGGACTCTGTAAAATGTAGGCGTTAAATTAAAGTTAAATTATGTTTCATAGGAAATATCATTTTAAAGACTTCGTCTCACACTCTCGCGCTTTTGACTAAAGCCACACTCCCTAACCATGAGATTTTGCTCTCACTCACCCATTTTAATTAAGAAACATATTTTGAAAACTAATTAGATCCTAATCGATACCTAAAGCGCTCTTGTTGTATTTAGGATCAATGCCTAGTTTCTACTATTCAATTCAATCCTCACACTTTCGCGCTATCGGCTTAAACCTTAATTTGTTTTTCACTCTTGGGACAAAACATTAAGACTTAGACTTGAAAACTAAAACCAAAACAGAATTTACTATCATTTTGCACCTAATTTAATTACCGAGTCCCGTCGGCAACGACGATCCTCATATACCAATCTCAGATACGTTTAGCCAGACATTAAATTGAACAAAAACAACTTAAACATGGTAGTTAAATATAAAGGCAGCATATCATTAAAGTAAAGGAATGAAATAAAACAAGAATTAAAACAATGCTAATAAAAACCTGTAAAGTCGAAATAAAACGCGGGAACTTGAAGTAATAATGAAAATGCTCGATTAATGTTGGCAGGCTTGTTGATCCAAGAGTACAAGAATAAAGAGAAAAACAGAATTGTGACAATCTCTCAATGCGAGCGATTGTCACTTTTAATAGTAATTTATACCTAAGACTAGAAGATAAAAATAGCAAAGTTTTCGCACTATCTTGGATGCTCAGAACTATGAAAAATCTTACTTATATAGAGGCCTTGAGCCAAAAAAAAAACGTTCTTCTATCATGTATGGGAAGTTGAGATAAAGTAGGATAGTGGGAGGGAGAGAGTCCAAGCAGAATCTACGTTTTTCTGTTATTGCATGATAATGGCGACCGCCATTAGGCCAATGGTGAAAGGCATTTGGTCAATTACTAAATGACATGGATTGGGTATATGGTGAACGCCATGCACCAGAAGTGTGATTTTTCTACACTTTCTTCTACTCTTTTCCGGTTTCTTTGCGCAGTCGCTCCATAACTTATTAAAACATGAAATGCAAATAGAATACGACATAAAAGCGATAAAACATAATAAAATAACATCAAATAACATGCGCTACAAGTCTATAATCATGATACATTTTCACATTATCATTTGTAGATGCGATTACAATGTTTATCGTTTTGGTTTCATTTTTATTCAATGATTGATATGATTTTCGTGTAGATACTTTGTTCTGAAGTAGAAATTTGTTTTAAAAACTTTGTGTTAAACTGAAGCAAAGAATGTTTCAAATAATTTTGTGTTAAACTGAAGCAAATAATGGGTTTAAATGAAGCATCTGAAACTGAATATGTTCAAGTTTAAGTTTTTTGCTTTCTTTTATTTGGTTTGTGAGATAATGAAGAAAATAATGAGTTTTAATGGAGCATCTAAAACAGATAATGTTAAAGTTTAAGTTTTGTAGCTTTCTTTTATTTGGGCTTTACGATTCTGTGTATATGCTTCATTAATGCATACATTTGTTTTCAAAAATTCTGGTTATTTTAGTTATGAAGATTATATGGATGATAGTAGATAATATTATGATGCAAACCATTATGTTCTAATGTCTATTCAAAATCATGCTTTAAACTTATATTTAACATTGAAACCAAATAATATTTATGATATGTCTGTCTTCACACAGTTGCAGTTTAAGCATCCATGGCTAGGCCTTTTGAAAAGATTTGTGACATTTCTGACAAGAAAGAACTATGGAAAATAGTTGTCAAAGTTCACCACAAATGGACTATTGTTTCTAATAGCAAAAAACATTTGGAATTCGTTTTCGTTGACGTTGAAGTAAGTGTTTGTTTTTCGATTTATGTAGTGTCTTATTCTCATTTGTCTTTCAATTATGCACTCTATGTTATATATTTATAGGGGAAAGATATTCATGTAATAGTGCCAACTACTTTGAAAGGAACATTTGATTTGGTGTTACAAGGCAACAACATGTACATTGTGACTAACTTTCAGCCTCAACCCAATGATTTAGTCTTCAAAACTTATGATCATCAGTTTATAATAAGATTCACATCTGGAACTTCTGTGTCTGATATAAACAAACATGATATTCCTGCAAAGAAGCTAAACTTCAAACATTTTGTGGATATTTTTCGGGAAAATGGACAAAGAATTTCTTAATAGGTTATATATTTTCAATATTACCCTCATTTAATATATTTTGAAACTTTGTTTAAAATTCTATTACTGTATATACAATATGTACACTGTTGTGATCACAAACGATACCTTTCAACAAATCAAGATTGAGAAACGGAGTTCTTGAGTGAACAATAAAATCAGTTATAACAAAGAGAGAAAGAAGAGAGGATAAATAAAAAAGAGGAATAAGGATTAGGGAAAATTTCTATACTATTCACTTTCTCAATATTACAAAAGATTACAAGTGAATAACACAATTCGCCACTCCCAACAACCTGAGTTATCTAGCCTACTTATAGACTAACTAGATAACTTGCAATACAAGCTAAATAAACAATTGGATCCTTAACACAAGGCCCAATTCAACAAACATTTTGGCAATACATATTAGAATAGAATTCGACTACAATATGTATCCTTTGACCACAGCATGTGACCCAGTTTTGAGTTCATGCTTGTCTCCTGTCAAAATACATGAAAGTTATGACAAAGCTTGAGTTCGACCCAAAATCTCACAAATCTCCACCTTGGATCTAACTCAACAAACAACAGGGAATAAACTAGCTTTCATCATGCAGCTTTATCAACTACATACAATGGAAAACTTGCAACTTGGAAACGTCTTGGTGATCATATCAGCATCATTGTCATCAGTTGAAACCTTCAGCACCTGGACTTCACCATGCTCGATTATCTCTCTGACGAAGTGCAGCCTCACATCGATGCTCGACAGGTGTATTTCCCTTTGACTATCACATTTAACAGTGATACTTCGACCTTGAAGTTTTAGCTCCTTTGCAAAACCTTTAAGCTACAATGCTTCTTTCACAGCTTCAGTGAGGGCAATATATTATGCTTCAGTGGTTGATAAGGCAACAACCTTCTGAAGCATTGCTTTCCAACTAATTGATGTGTAAAACATAGTGAACACATATCCAGAAATAGACTTTATGGAATCCATACAACCTGCATAATCAGAGTCGACAAATTCTTTGATTTTGATTATGCTATTACAACCACAGGCTCCACCATAAACCAAGACTCTTGTCAGAGACCCATTTATGTACCTGAGAATCCACTTTACAGCTTTCCAGTGCGCCTTTCCAGGATTGGCCATATACCTACTAACAAGGCTCACACCATATGATATGTCTGGCCTCATACAGACCATAACATACATCAAAGAACCTACTACACTGGCATATAGAATGCTACTCATATAGATTCTTTCAGCTTCAGTACTCGAACTTTGAGTAGTACTAAGCTTAAATTGAGGATTTGTTGGAGTCATAACAGGCTTTGAATTCGACATACCAAACTTGTCGAGAAGCTTCCGTAGGTATGTCTCTTGAGATAAGAACAACTTCGACTACTTTTTGTCTCTCTAGATGTCAATCCCAAGAATCTTGGTGGCAGCTCCCAGATCCTTCATTTAGAACTCCTTACTGAGTTCAGCCTTCACCTCCATCACATCCTCAACATTGTTGCTACCTATGAGGATATCACCCATATAAAGAAACAAGATAACAAGTGAGTTTCCAGGTCGAAATCTGAAGTAAACACGGTGGTCGAACTGGCTCCTAGTGAAACCAATGTGTGCCATGAACTTGTCGAATCTCCTGTTCCATTGTCGAGAAGATTGTTTCTGGCCATACAAAGTCCTATTCAACTTGCACACATAATCTTCCTTATCCTTATCTGCATACCCTTCAGGTTGACGCATCAGAATCATTTTGTCTAGGTCATCATACAGAAATATTGTCTTCACATCCATTTGCTCAAGTTCCAAGTTGAACTTCACCACCATGGCCAACAACATTCTAATGGATATATGCTTTACAACAGGTGAGAACACATCATTAAAGCTGACACCTTCTTTCTAAGTGAACCTCTTAGCAACCAATCTTTCCTTAAAGCACTTCGACATCACTCCTTCGATTCCTTCCTTGACCTTGAAAATCTACTTATAACTGACTAACATTGCTCCTGCAGGTTTCTCAATCAACTCTCAAGTGTTATTATCATGAAGAGATTTCATTTCGTCATCCATGGTTTTTCGCCATTCAGTCTTATTTCGACTACTCATAGATTCCTTGTAATTTATAGGTTCTTCCTCAAGTACCTCACTTGTAGAAATTAAGGAAAAAGCTATAAGATCTGCATAACCAGGTCTCTTAGGCGGCTTGGTGACTCTTCTCGACCTATCTCTTGCCAGTAGGTAGTCATCGACAGTTTCCTCAGTGTCTTCAACATCTTGCTCTTCTTCTTTGACTTCATCTGGGTTATGTACTTCAGCATCACTATGCTCCACCTTAACAGGCATCTCTACTTATTCCAACTCCTCTTCAGAGATTTCTGCACTTCGACCAACATCACCAGTTTTCTTGAACAACATTTTGGATTCATTGAAAACTACATCACGACTTGTTATACATCTTCTATAACCAGGTCTTAAGCACCACAACCTATAACCTTCGAATCCTTCAGAATATCCAAGGAACATGCATCTTAGAGCTCTAGGTTCGACCTTGTCTTGCCTAATGTGAGTATAGTCTAAACAGCCAAATACTTTCAGTTTTTCGAGATCTGGTGGCTGACCCAACCAAACTTCTTCAGGTGTCTTCATTCCCAAGGCAGTCGAGGGACATCTATTTATCAGATAAGCTGCTCTCAAAATAGCCTCCGCCCAAAACACCTTCTTCAATTCAACACTAACCAACATGCATCTAAACCTTTCAAGGATTGTTCGATTGAATCTTTCAACTAAGCCATTTTGCTGAGGAGTACCTACTACATTCTTATACCTTGAAATCCCATACTCAACACAGTAACTATTGAAAGCTTTATTGCAGAACTCAAGGCCATTGTCAGTTCTCAACCTCTTAACCTTTTTTCCAGTTTGAGTTTTGACCAGAACCTTCCAACTTTTGAAATTCTTAAAAGTTTCATCCTTAGTCTTCTGAATGAATACCCATAATTTTCTGGAATAGCCACCAACTATGGATAGAAAATACCTTGCACCTACATGTGAAGGACTCCTTGCAAGCTCCCAAAGATCAGCATCGATGTAATCAAGGGATCCCTGTATTCTTTGTTTACCTTTGTTAAACTTCACCCTACAGGATTTACCAAATACACAAGGTTCACAAAACTCCAACTTCTCGACTTTGTCACCACCTAGCAGGTTTTGTTTCCCCAATTCAACCAGGCCTTTTTCGCCGACATGGCCTAATATCATGTGCCATAATTCTGTCTTCGACACAGGTTTTATGGATGCAACATTTGTCGAACCACTTATAACCTCAATCTCAAGGGTATATAAGCCTTGTTTCTTCACGCCTCTCAAGACTTCCTTCGAACCCTTCATGACTTTCAGGATACCTTGCTCTCCTTTAAAGACATATCCTTTATTGTCGAATTCACCAAGAGAAATCAAATTCCTCTTAAGGTCAGGTACATACATAACCCCAGTCAATAGTCTTACTGACTCATCATGGAGCTTGAATCTTACATATCCGATACATGCAATCTTGCAAGCTTTATTGTTTCCCAACATCATTGATCTACCATCTTGATCACATACTTCTTCAAACACATTCTTGTTTGGAGTCATATGCCAAGTACAACGAAAATCCATAATCAACTTTTTGCAAGAGTTGCTGCTCGACACCACAAGGACATCAGATGATTCATAATCATCTTTCACAATAGTTGCATTCCCATTGTCCTTTTCTTCATTATTATTCAGGAGCTCAGGGCATACCTTTCTTGTGTGACCCTCCTTCTTACAGTGATAACACTTAATCCTAGAAATATCACCACCATAAGACTTCTATTGAGTTTTACCTTTCTTCTTCTCAAACCTACCATCTTTTTTTGATGATTTCCCTTTTACAGACAAACCTTCGCCAACTGATGATGATGGTTTCTACTCCTTTCTTTCATTCAAATCCTTCGAATACAAGGCTGCTTAAACTTTTTCAAAGGTCATGGACTCTCTTCCATACAAGAGAGTTTCTTTGAACTGAGCATGTGATTTTCGTAAAGAACATAAAAATAACAATGCTTGATCTTCACCATTGATGGTAACATCAATATTTTCAAGATCAAGAATTAGCTTGCTAAACTTATCCAGCTGCTCTGTCAATGCTTTATCTTCAGTCATCTTGAATGAATACAAATCTTGCTTCAAGTACAAACGATTCACCAAGGATTTTGTCATATACAATCCTTCGAGTTTCAACCAAACACCAGCCACCGTCTTCTCCTTTGAAACCTGCCTAAGAACATTATCACCAAGACTTAGAACAATTGCATTGTGGGCTTTCTTGATCGTCATTGTTTTTCCTTCTCCTTCAGTGCAGCATCCATGGCATCTCTTCCCTTTAACACTTCTAGCAAACCCTTTTGAACAAGAAGGGCTCGCATCTTCAAACGCCATAAACCAAAATCATTAACTCCGGGGAACTTATCAACTCAAAATTTGTTGACGGCATCACATTCACGCTCACCACATTAGTTTGTTGTGATCACAAATGATACCTTTCAACAAATCAAGATTGAGAAACAAAGTTCTTGGGTGAATAATGAAATCGGTTATAACAAAGAGGGAAAGACGAGAGGATAAAGAAGAAAGAGAAAGAAGGATTAGAGCAAATTTCTATACTATTCACTTTCTCAATATTACAAAAGATTACAAGTGAATAACACAATTGGCCACTCCCAACAACCTGAGTGATCTAGCATATTTATAGAATAACTAGATAAATTATAATACAAGCTAACTAAACAATTGGATCCTTAACACAAGGCCCAATTCGAAAAACATTTCGACAATACATACTAGAACAGACTTCGACTACAATATGTATCCTTCGACCACAGCATGCAACCCAGCTTCGACTTCATGCTTGTCTCTTGTCGAAATACATGAAAGCTATTCCTTGACAAAGCTTGAGTTCGACCCAAAATCTCAACAA